TAAAGACGGCCTCGATCTCAAAGAGCAGCCACAGTTTCATGTCCAGAACCATGCCACGCCCCAAGGGCACCAAGCCCGACATGATGCAAATCACTTGGTCCATGTACCAGTGACGCTCGTGGGTGTGGGTGAGGTACCCCTCGGACGCTGCCGGGATCAAGAGGTGGATCTGGCGCTTCCGAGGCCCGCGCTGCTCGAGCTTGGCCGCGCAGTGCTGCAAAACACCGACGGCAAGGATCGAGACAAACACCGTCGCCGTGTTGACGCAGAGAAGAAGGGCGAGGCGCGAGACGCTGCCAATCGCGATGCGGCCGCTTTGGCAGGACGCCTGCAGCCCGAGCGTCGAGACGACGCAGCGACGCTCCAACTGCAAGGTTGCGTGGTACGGCGCGAAGCGCTCGAGGAGCACCATGGTCAGCCACGCGAGGAGGCTGCTGATGGGCGCCGACGCATTCGCGCCCTCCTTTGTAAATGGGAGGAAAAAATCACTCACGACATACGTGATCCACGTGCCTTCGCCGGCAATGAGGAAGATCTCGACGAGCGACCGCGGCGCCAGCTCGAGCCGCGAGAGCCCATGTCGCTGCACAAAGTCAATCGGCGATGTACTTAAGAGCGCAAGCGCCGTGACACCGCGGACAAAGAGGAACGGCCGCCCGATCCACGTGCACCCGACGACCCGGTTGACCTTGAAGAGGTCGTGGCCGCACACGCACAGCGGCGCTTTGAACGCAAAGCACACCATGAGCACCATGATGATGTTGATGACGATCGTGACATACAAGGTGATGCTCCAAATGTATCTGCACGCGCTCACCGGAAGCTCGAGCGGGTTGGCCGCCATTTGCAGTGGCTCCATGCGTCGCGACATGACGGTCGCCGCGATGCTATCCGTCTCGAATACATAGACCTCGCGGCGTCCCTGGAGCCACTCAAGGAGCGTGATCCAGCCAAAGAGATCCCATGGCGTCTGCGAGACCATGGCCTGCGACAGCAACTGCGAAGGCGCCGCCACTTGGTACATGGAGATCTGTAGCGGGTGCAGCACGGCAGAGATGGCGTCGAGGGGCGGGACGAGGAGGGGCACACGCATGGCCGCTGAGAGCGCATGCATGCAGCTCTCGCGCGTACTAGTGCTCGCGAGGGCGCACACAGAAAGCACGCTCGACACGTTGGCCAGAGCGGCGGCAAGCACGACATTTTGGCGCCCCAGTGCGATCGTGAGCGGCGTCGGCTGGTTGCACGCGTCGTAAAAGCCAAAGGATTCTTGCACAAAGGACGTGGTTTCGGTCTCGCTGACGCACATCAAGTTGCCCGTGTAGTATGCACCCCCCGTCCAGTTGGACGGCGTCGGATGCACGGTCGTCGACGAGGGCACGGCCTCGTAGGCGGCTCGGACACTCGCATTGGACTCGAGGTCGCGAAACAGAGCGTCTTGCAGGCCAAGGTACAGCTCGATGAGCTCGTTGGGATAGGCGACAAGCCGAACGTTGACGTTGCCCAGGGGGCCGAGCGCGTTGACAAAGGCGGCTGTCACGGGTGGCGCCGTCGCGTTTGGAATGTAGTAAAAGGTGCTGGTCGCATTGAGCGCCTCGATGCTATTCGGTGCGTTCCGGACAAGACTCATGGGGCCCGGCGGGTCGAGCGACGACCAGAGATCGTTCCAGACACCCATGTACGCGTGCACCATGGTCCAGAGACTCAGTCCTCGGAACGCAAAAGGGATTTCGTTGATGCGAATGGTCTGTGTGAGCCCCAGCGCATTCTCGATCACTATAGTTTCTTCGAGACCCTGTTGGTAGTAGTTGGTCACTTCCGACTGCCAGTGCGACGCGCCGTGACCGACCCAAAACGCGACTTCGGCGTCCACCGAGAGGTACGATGCTGGTCCACGGAGCGTCGTTGCGAGCCACGCCTGGCCCGACGCGGTCGCGTTGACTTGAAGAAAAATGCCCGACACCAGCGGCTGGCCCATTGGACCGTCGAGGACGTCGGCGGCGTCCACGTTGCGTAAGATCGGCTCGAGATACACGGCGGCGTTGGCCGTCATGTGGGAAACGCAGCGCGCTTGCTGCGTCGCCGTGAGCGCGAGTTCATAGCGCTTCTCATAGTCGACCCAGCAGTACTTGAGAAACTGGCGCAGATTCCAGTGCACTGAGTTGTTGCGAATGGCGGGCACGACAAGCGGTAGCGGGACGGCCCCTTGGAGAATGGAGCGTGGCGACGCGCGCGAGAGATCGACAAACGTTGAATGGGACGCATAGGCTTTCGGTAGCACGACTCGCTCGTCAAAGAGCGGGTAGGTGCCCGACCGATTGAGAAGCAGCATGCCGTTGCACCAGTCGCTCAGAAAGGTTTGGAGGCCCGTCGTGTTGAAGTTCTGCCACCAATAGTCGTTGGCCACGTGCGGCTTGAGGATCTGGATGTACATGACGCTGCAGGCCATCGTAAACGCCATATACACGTAGCCGCACAGCGTGACGAGGAGCGTCGGTGAGAAGCGACGACTTGACTTCGGATGACGCGCCAGCGATTCGTCACTTGGCGGCATGTCGGCGCTGGACGCGACAGCAATGACGCGACCCTGGTTGACGACCATTTTATTGTAAACTGCCTTTTTTGTCGTGGTTGTATTTAGGGCGGGAAACGTAAAGTGGAAACCCCGTGATTTGTATTAAAGGGGTAGGTTACAATTGTGTATGTCGCATATCCATGCGACACGATCCAGGCCATCCGTTCGATTACGACCACGACCATTGGCATTATTCGAGGTCGGCAAACAAGTCGTCGTCTTCGATCGGTGCGGGCGCGTCGACGGCAACCCCCACCTCTGTCGGAGCGGCCACGACACCGTGCAAGAACGCCTAATGCGTGCATATTCATATATACATAAAGTGGCAAATGCAGTAAGTAGTACATGCGCGCCCGTGGGCGTCACGTCCGTCGTCGGATCGTCTTTGGTGCTGAGAAGCGTCACGTTGTGGGCCACGAGCAACGACCACACGGGTGAGAGGTACCACGTGTCCTTGAGCGTTTGTAAAAACGCGTTAAAGGACGCCGTGTAGTGGATCTACGCAACTCAAAACAGTGGGTGGAACAACGTCGTCGAGAGACGCGGCTACCTCGGGCGACCGGCGGCGAAAATGCAAAAGACACTGCAACGCTTTGCCGTGGTACGCGCTCTCTTGGCCAAAGAGGGTCGAGATCTGGTCCTGCATGCCCGAGACCGCTACATGGTCGGTCGTTGGATGTCATCATACCAGCATGATGCGAGCATCGTACCGCTGTGCGCCTTGACCACCTTGTTGTGCTTGGCCGATAAGAGCGCTTCAAAGTCCGAGATCGGGTTCATCGACCCGACGCTGGTCACGTCTTCGCCGCCCAAAAGATCCTAGTACCATGCACGACACGTTCATGCGCATACTCAAGGTCGAAAGATCGTATTGGCCTGGCCGTACGTCCAGGTCAAACTCGTCGTCGTCGTCGTCACCGCCGCCACTCGGCTCGGCGTCGTCGCCCGTCAACGGCTCGTCCTTGACCGCCTCGTTCTTCTTGGCGTCGCTCCAAAAGAATTTTTTCTTTTGATCTTTGGCCTTGACAGCTTCCTTGAGCTGGAACGCCGCGTTGAAGCGTTGGATGCTCGGTAGTGCGGTCGTGAAAAGCTCCTTGTCTTCGCGAAGGTACCTGCGCGCGTACATGGCTTTCATGCAAACACCGACCATGCACCAGGGACGCACCGCTCGACGTACGGCGGGAGCGACGCGACGGGGCACTGCGGGTCCTCGGCGCGCTTCGGGATCGTATCGTAAAAGCGCTGCAAGGACGGGCAAAACGCTTTGCTGTGGAGCTGCCTACACCACATTGCATTTGACGACAGTGCCCACCAAGAGAAGGCGTCCTACTGCTTGTCGCTGGGCAGCATGAGCGCGTCGACAAGGGCGTCGGCCACGTCTTGTTGTTCTATCATAGTACGTGTGACGCGGCCGCGTCGACGTATTCGAGCGCACCTTTGGTCGGCGTCGCCTTGGCCACGCGCAGCGATGGAAACTCGTACTGCCGCATGTCTTCTTCAAACGGGATTTGCTGCAACCAGAGGCAGTGCAAGCGCCCGTCCTTTCCGCTGCACGTGTCTACGCCATCCTTCGTGAGCGAGGCGGGAAAGATATGGACACAATGTACTTGGGATCAAGACGACGACCTTGGGTGCGGCGTTCGCACGGGCGACGAACCGAGCGATCGCAACCTTGTTCTCGTCGGCCATGGCGCGCACAAGTGCCGCGAGGGCCTCTTGGGCGCGGGGCTTTGTAAAGTCCCCGAACACAGCGTCCGTGTTGCTCATAAACATCGACCCTACCATCGACCATGAAGATATCGGGTTGTGTGGGTGGTAATAGAGGTGCGTAAGCGTACGGTCCACGCAGTCGCGCGGGAGAAACCCAAGGATCTTGAGGCTGCGTGTCGTTTCGAGCTTGAGCGAGGCCTGGTCCGCAGTCGAAAACGGAATCTAGGCGCTGCCGACTTAACACCAAGCGCAACCATCGTTCAAGAACATACCATCTCGGAGCCGTACTTGTACGCTTTGATGCGAGCTTCTGGCGCGACTTCTTCGTCGGGCTTGGCCTAGGCAACCACATGTCCATACGACGTCTGCATATACAGAGATGTGTGTGTCCTCTACTTGGCTGTGGTACAGACGATCCATCTTGACCTTCCCGACACCGGGCTCGCCGACAGTCGACTCTTTCGCGAGCGTTGGCAACCGTTGCTCGAGGGTTTTCGAAAAGACATAGGTCGGGATCTGCAGCGTCGCGCCAAACTCCAAGTTGCCGCGAAACTTGGTCGTCTAGGACATGTTTGAATCCACGCACATGCAATAGGTGCGTCTACTTGGTTCACAGTCTTGGTCTTGCCTTGGGTGAGAAAATCAATGCGCTTGGAGACCGAAAGGAGCTCGCCGTGCACTTCGTTGACGATCGAGAGCAGCATTTTCTCATTCTCGAGCTACCAGGACCATCGAGACGCCCTTCTTAGACATCGTCGTACCTTGATATCGTGCGTTTCCTCGGGCTTGACGGCCAACGGCTCGGCCTTGGTCGCATCTGTGATGCTAAAGTCGATCCCACTGCAGTCGGTCCCATAAGAATACTATGGCAGAGGCAAAGGAGGGTCGTACATGATCTGGAGCTGGACGTCCATGTTCTGCACCATGGAGCACACGACCTCCATGTCGGCCGGGTTGGCGATCGGCGTCGCCGCGTCCGTCACGACGACGAGGCGCTTCTCGTACTTCTTCTTGTCCGTGCGCCGGATGAGCAAGTCAAGCGCGACGATGATGCCATCCAAGACGTCGGCCTTGGTGTCTTTCGACGCGGCTTGGGCTACCGCCATTGTCTCGGCGACGCGCGTCGAGACTTCGTCGAGGTTGCTCAAGACATGCACGTGCTCGTAGCCACCTTGCGTCTCGTGCAGATGGTTGTCGGTCCCCTCGGTACCATACATGACGATACCGACCTCGTCGTGCTTCCGGAAGAGCATCTTCTGCGAGAGGATGCTCTGGACAGCGGTCTTGGCTGCGTCAAAGCGCGACCCGACCACGGCCTTCCGCGTCGGCTCGTTCAGGGGCTCGCGCATGGAGACGCCAGCGTCCAGGACGATCATCATGGCTTCCTACGCAGTCATCGGCTTCATCTTCCTCCATGGGCCCATGAGCGTCCACCTTGGTGCGGGACATGCTCGCGTCGATCAAGTTGCAATTTCGAATGCAAAATCCTTGTGGGTGGATATCCGGATAAACGAGGCGTAACCGGACACATGGCCAACTGGAGATTGCTCGACTATGTTTATACGACCAAGATGCTGCCAGGGCAGGTCGTTAGGACCACTGCTACATAGGACTTTCGCTTTTATCGGCGCGGTGAGTAACGAGACCTCGATTCGTCCTGCGTCTTGAGACGATTCTGTCCACAATACATATCAACGCGTCCTGCTGTTGATTCGGGCGATGCAGTCGATTGCAACCTGACGACGTATGTACAGTAGATCGCCAAGCAGCTGCATGGACGCAGCCCTTTCTTACAAAGCAGAATGTGGAAATTCCAAGTGCGGTAGCATCGATCTCGGCCGCGCCACCAACAGCCTCGTCCAAAACTGCCTCAAGAGCTACACAGTCGCTCCAACGGCGGCGGCGGCAGTTGGGCTAAACGACCAGCGCCTTTGTTTGTTTCAGTCTATCAACCTATCGACAACGGGTTTGCTGGATGCAACAACAATTGCTCCTTCCGAGGCCGTGGTGATCACCTTCCGCACATCGTACAACATTGGTGCCAATCGACCGTCGCCAGGAGACTCTACCCCTAGCCGCCACCACGGTGCCGCTGTAACCTCGACACCACTCCCAGAAGGACTTGAAGAAAACCCTCAACGAGCACCTCGTGTCGCCACGTGTGGGATGTCTGCAGTCTCCTTCCCGACCTCCCCCATATACGACCACAAAGTGCTGGTGCCAATGTTAGACATTTGTTTAAAATAAGAAATCAAACTGAATTCGATCGACCATTTACAAAGCTAAACCTACACCTGCTCGTAGAGGCATCGCTGGGTGACCTTTTACTCGAACTACAAGGTTGTCATGGAGAAAAGACAACTTGTGGTGGCTTTTGGGGGTTCAGTCGTGACATCCAACTCCGACACATGCACACCATGCGCTGCGTCGTCGACGTCAGTACTATGCCATGTCGTTTTAGCCACTTGGACTTCACAATGCAAACACTTCAACTACGAGTGTCTGCCGTCTCGAAGCGCGTGCCAAGAAGACGCGTACATACCACGTGCTCTCCATGACGCAGCATGCTCCGTCTTGTTCGACACCAAGAACGCTTCTCGTCTATATGTGCACAGACAAGTCCGTCGCTGCACTTACGTGGTCGCTACACAAGAGACGACGGCGACGATGGAAGATAGTGTCGAGCAATTCGAGACATTTTTGCATGAAACGCAATTATGAGCTCATGCTGGCGTCTTCCATCTCGTCGGCGCCATTGGTCGTGCCAAACGCCGACATGTCTTGGATCTGCAGCGATTCCTGCAGCATGCGTGCGACGTCGGCGTCGGAAAACTCGGATTCCTCGCGCAGACGCGTGCTGCAGATGCACACGTCGGTTGCGCGGCGGCACTTGCGGCACTGCTTCTTCGAGACGCCCTAGACACGACACAGATATGCGTTCACATGAACTCCATTTCCACAAGTCCATGCGCACCTTGGTCGCGGTCACGCGCGGCGTCACTTCCATCGGTTTGTCCATCTCGTCCGCGAGCACCATGGTCTCGAAGGCGTCCGTGTTGTAAAAGATGCTCACGAGCTGCTGCATCTCGGCCACATCGAGGCGACACTGCGCCAGCGTCGTCCTAGCATCGTGTCCAATAAGTATCAAGACGACGACCCATCGACGTACGCCAGGGTCGGCAGCGAGCGCAGCGTGTCGGGCGTGCACTTGTGGCACACGAGCAAGAAGAGAAAGCACATGGCATTCCACTACAGGCACCGTTTTGTCACGCGGTAGACGACACGAATCGGGTCAAGCACCTCGCTTTTTTCCTTGGCCTCGACGGGCCGAAGCAGCTGGAACGTGTGCAAGAGGTCCTGCAGCAGCCCCTGGATGCGCCGGTCGCACGGCAGCCCCGAGAGCGCGCTGATCGACGGCATTTGCCGCAACAAGAACGCGCCAAAGTGGTGCGCGCGGTCTTCTTCCGGTCCCGAGATCGGACGCACCTCGACCGTCACAGGGATCGACCGCTGGTGCCAGCCCGCGACAACCGAAAGCGTCTCTGGCGTCACCATCTCCGAGATCTTCATCCACATGGTCGCAAAGAGCGGGAGGTCGGCGGCGCTGTATACGTCCGTGTTGCCATCGCTGTCGTCCGACGAGTCGTCGTCGGCGCCGAGGATGTCCATCTCCGAGTCCGTGCCCGAGTCCGACTCGGACGAATAGTCGCTTTCATTCTCATTCCCGTCCTCGGTCGTGGCTGGCGCTGTCTCTTGCTTCATCTTCTTGGCCAGTTTCGTGGCCTTTTTGGCCTTGTGGCCTGGAAACACGAAACCTTCAATCAAGATGGCGTGCTCTTCCTTGGGAAACTCGCGCGATGGCCCGGCCGGCGCCTTGTTCTCGATGATCGTGATCGGCTTCTGGCTCGGCCGCTCGACGACGCCCATGCCCGGCTGCTTGGACCACACGACCTTGGGCTGCGCGCGCTTGGGCTTGGCCACCGATGCCACGGAAATTGGTGCACGCGCGCCCTCCCGGTAGTCCAACGGGTTGGGCTTGGACGTGCCAAAGACTTGGTGGATCGTCGGTAGCATTTGCACCGGCTTCACCGGCAGCAGCGCCAGGAACGATCGGGCTTCCTACGCATGGCATCGTTGCGCGTACATCGATGCTGTGCAGTCGTCGTCGTCGTACCTTCAAGCACGTCTCGGAGCAAAACTGCTGCTCTTCGCGGGCGCTATACACCTCTCGCCGCGCCACCGAGATGCGGTACTTCTGTGGCTTCCTAGGGCCGACCATTGTGAGCGAGCCGCGGGTGCGAGCGCATGTACTTTTTGGCGAGCGTCGAGCTGCACGTGGGCAGGCCGCAGCGGAGCTGGACCGCCCGCTCCTCAAAGACATCGCGGAGGTGGCGCTCCTGGAGGATGTTGCTGCAGAGCTCGAGGTATGGCGCAGGCACGACGGGGCTCAGCAGCGTCGACATGAGCACGAACGCGTCGCGGGCCGTCGCGTGCTCGGCGTCGGTCTGCGTGACCTGCATGGTGCTGCGATGCTTGGCGAATTTAAGTTCGACCCAGCAAAGTACCCTCTCCAAAATCACATTCTATAGCTTCATCTTTGTATTCCATTTGGCATTTCGTATTAAAATGCAAGCCTACGCTGCGATTGGTCATTCCATCAACCTGGATTTTCTGCAAGCTCGGCCCACGGTGCGATGATGGACAGCCGAAGGCGACGAGGGCCTCCTAGCCCGGGCGCGAGCTCTAGCGCGCCGTCGTGAGGCCGCTCGCGTCGCGTTCGACAGACGCCTGGATACCTTGGGTTGCTTGTTGACGAGGCCGACCACTGCACAGACGCAAGCCTTCGCCGCCCATGAGAAGCATGTTGTCGTCCCAGTCCATGCAGCAAATCGCCGTCTTGTGGCCGCTGACGAGCCCGGCCTGCGGCGTGAGCGACGACGTACTGAGCGTCGCAATGTTGATTCTTGACCGTCCGACGAACGTCAGAGCACGTTGGTCGACGTTCGACTGACCATGCTTTGGCCATCATGTCGTGGGCGATCTGCATGCCATGGTGCTACGCGTCAACGGTACCACACATTGCCACCACATCCAGAACCTTGTCCTTGACGTCGAGACTCTTGTACATTGTATGGGGCTCGCGAAGGACTACCAACCGCGGAGGGTGGGCGTTTGACATGTTGTCACGCTCTGTCCATCCTCCTACGTGAGGCATTTCTATCGGTACCGGCCCTCTCTTACGAGCCCGACCCCGGTAGCACATACGCACACACTAGATTATCCAGTCGTCTGTTCGTTTGCCCGTCGACGCTCCATTGTTATTATTCGAGCTCCGATGGTCTTGCTTGAGGAATCTGCGTTTTCGTGCTCCTAACCTGCAGGCTCCGAAGTGTCAAAATACATCAGTTCCAACAACATCTCGAACGCTGAAGTTGCCAGTTGGGAATTGGCGGCGTGACCTATGTGCCTGTGCCACCAGACGAATTTGCCACTCCGTTTACGTCAAGGTCCATCGTCATGGACTTGGTTGGTCCATGAAAGCCACACCTCACGGGCCGCACGGTGGAGGCGAGCTATCTCGTCTCGACCCCAATGAGCCACGCCGAGAAATGCCTATTGCACTGCGTGAAAACTGTCGAGGCCACCTTGGGCATTGACGCGTATGTCGGGTCGTACGTCTGTTTCGCGCGCGACCACGAACGGACCCACGGCCTTGTCATCTTGCATCGCTGCTATCATGATAGCCTGGGCTGGCTCCTCGTGGAATGTGACAACCTCAGAATGTGCTCTGTCTCCCTCCCCGATCCAACGTTGCATGTGGTAAGCTTCGCTGGCTACGCTTTGCGTCCCTTTGACAAGCAGCCAGCCACAACCACTCTCGAGGCGGTCAAGACGACGACCAAGGTGGTTGTCACCTACTTTATCGCCGACGATCGCGGTGCTCGACCTTTCAGGTGCGACGCTCCTTTGCTCGGAGCCGCCTTCAGGTGACGTGCGTCTTTGGTGCTTCTTCAGGTAACGGATTGCGGTGTACGTTGACGCTGAACGACGCGCTCGACTTTGCGATTTCGGTCGTTGGGCCGAGAACGCTGCGTTCGCTACACGAAGTGAGAGCGGAGCGTCTTGTTGGACAAGCGAACCGACGACTCGATAAAGAACATACAATGTACAGAAGGACTCATTCGCCCCACGCAAGTGGTGGGCCATAGAGAGGTGCGGGGCGCCTAACCCTACCCGCAGACGATGGCACAAGCACTCTGCAAGCTGGACACGGTATTACTCGGGTCTATTACTGCGTCCTCATTTAGTACGGGCGCGAGCTCTTCCGTGCCTTCTTGAGGCCGCTCACGTCGCGCTCGACGGACGCTCGGATGCCACGCGTCGCTTGCTGTTGAAATAATCCGGACGAGGCCGACCACTTGCACAGACGCGAGTCTTCGCCGCCCGTGAGAAGCATGTTGTCGTCCCAGTCAATGCAGCGAATCGCTGTCTTGTGGCCGCCGACGAGCTTGGCCTGCGGCGTGAGCGACGACTCGCCGAGCGTCGCAATGTTGACTGTGCCCGCATGGTCGCCCGTCACCAGGTGCAGCTGGTCGCTCGTGGCATCGTACTTGCAGTCGATTAAATACTCGGTGGGCATCTATCACAATACATCATCAAACACGGTAGGGACAGGCAGCAATGTACGTCGAGCGCGTTGCACGCGTCGCGGATCTGCGGGAAATGCGCGAGGCGCTGGGCGGTCGTAATGTTCCAGAGGTCCAGCGTCTCCGAGCCCGTGAGAAAGGCCATGTGATGGAGCTCGTGGCCAAAGAATGCAAACTGCGTCACCGCGCTCTCGACGTTGATGATGGAAATGATCGCGTCGTCTTCGTCGGCGATCGTGCAGTCGAAGAGGCACACGACACCGTCTTCGGACGCCGTGACGACCTCGGACCGGCGCAGCGGGTGGAAACGAACCCGCGTCACGTTGTCCATGTGCGACTCGCCATACTCGCCGAGCTACAAGAGACGAGTCAGCCTGACATGTCGGCATCATGAAGGCATGGTGAGGACCTTGCGCGCGGTCCGCGTGTCGTAAAAGACCGCCCGGTCGGTTGTGCCGCACACGACGAGCGTGTCGCCGCAGCCCATGGAGCACGTCCACACTTCACTGCCGACGCGGATGCTCTGCGCCGGTCCTTGGTCGGTGCGCAGGTCCCATAGCTTCATCGTGCCGTCGTTCGAGCCCGAGAGGACGCACCACGGCGACGTCTCGGAGACGCAGACTTCGTTGATCGACGCGTTGTGCGCGGCGATGACGCGGTCGCACGCGAGCGTCGATCGGCTGCGCGCCTGGAGCGTCTTGTCTGAGAGCGCCAAGATGACATGTTCCTTGGACGCTGTCGTCTTGCTACAGCATCATGGACGATGAGGATGCGTGTCATTCTCAAAGAGGATGGTACCAGTCCATGACGTATTCATAGTCCTGGTCGTCGGATGTCATTTGCAGCGTCGCATCTTGCTTGAAGTGCGTCACCACAGTGCTGCTCAGCGCGAGCGTCTGCGGGTGCGCCAAGGCCATGTTGCGGGATTGGATCTGGCGAGATATTGCTGGCCCACAATGCGTCGCCCAATCAGAGGCCAGTGTTATCCGGATGCGCAAGGTGATTGGTGCCTGCGAGATGGTCATGGCCTGGCCCGCCAGCACGCGCCATGCCCTGCCAGCAAGGGATTCCCTTGCCTGCCAGCATGGTGCGGTATATGCAAGCACAGGCGCCGAGCTGTCTGCTACTATGGCAGCAACGGCAGCGACCTACCATGGGCGGACGACGAGCCGGCGTTCACCGCGAGGTCATTGCCTTAGGCGTCACGAGGACCATAGAGACAAGACGAGAGATGGGTATACGCATAGATTAGAGGAGGTTCGTTCTACTACTTGGTGTAAATGGGCACGTACTCGACGACGCCGTTCTTGTTCATGCGCGTCTTGCGGATCTGGCGGAGCTGCTTCTTGGACATGGTCTTGAGCTTGTGCGTCTTGGAGATCTGCTGGACCGTCGACGACTTCATTTCGTTGGCCATTCGCCGCTTCTCCTTCTCTTCGCGCGCAATCTTCTTGTCGAGGCGCTCCTGCTTCTTGCGCGCCGCAATCTCGTGCTCGAGGTCCTTCATCTCCTTCTTCTTGGCCTTCATCGCCATCTTCTCGTCCCACGTCGTGCTCAGCGTCTTGGTCGCCTTGTACGTCATCATCGACTTGCGCTGCGTCTGCGTCTTCTTCCACGGCCGGTTGCTCACGGGCTGGCCGCGGGGCGGCTGCGTGCTCGGCGTGTCCTTGGCCATCTTGGAGAATGCGAAAACCTTCCGAAACTTATGCATTTGCTCATCCAACCTCGAAAGCCGCAGCCAACCAATTTCGACGCCGCGCCGAAAAATCTATTTGTGGCAGGTTTATCCGGATGATACGCCAGAGCGGGGCCGTCGCGCCAAGCCGCCACGCTGCCGGCGACGAGAGAACGACCCCGCAGGCCAGGGTCGTGCGCAAGGTCCTTTGATAACCGAGTTGCTGCCATGGAAAAAGCACTAGATCCAGACGCTATCCAAGGTAACTCGCTGCTATTCAAGCTGCTTGCTGCAGGAAACCGAGCGGGTTGGAGCCGTAGCCCATCGCACACAGGTAGCAGGAGACGGCCGGAGCCCCGCCGATTTATGCCCGCAGTAGATTATACCCAGTGCTGGTGGCGACCTCTCAGGACTGCGCACACGGCGGAGTGAATGGGTCGTACAATATCTGGTGGACACTGGTGCTTGGAGAGTCCACAAGGCACTGGAAAGACGTCGAGAAAGGCAGATCGATTGGCAATCGCAACTTGTTTGCGGGTCCAAATACGTACCGGTACCGGTAACGTTACTATCGGCAATGGCTTTAGTTTAGGTCTAGGACGGGTTCTGTTTGATTCTTCCTGCCCTAAGCTTTGAATCTCGCCGCCTTTGGAGAGGATATGTTGCTTGTGCGCCACCACGGCGGGCGCTTTGGCTACCCGTCGACATGCTGGCGTTGGACGACCTCGGCGTCCTGCACTCGTACATTGTAGCAATCTAGTCGTTCTTATTGCATCGCTTCAACGTCAACCAGCGACTGCGCACCATCCAAGAAAGTGGCAGCTCAACGCTGCAATATCTTGGCCGTGAACTTGTGCGCATGGATGGTACCCTTGCGCCTACATGTAGCTCCTGCACGTGGGCTTTCAGCGCAATGGGATCTAATCCAACGAGCAGTTCAATACTCGAATCAAGATATGTGACATACATTCGGAATAAATTTTGTGCCATTTGCGACGGACCGCCCAATATGTCGCTCGTCGCCGACTACTCGGACAGCTCCGACTCGGACGCCGAGACGCCAGTCGTCGTCGCGCCAGCCGCCGTCGTCGCTGCGCCATGCGCGGCCAAGCCCATCGCGCTTCCATCGGCCGACGACCTCTTTGCAGGAACGGTCAAGCCGTCGAGCGTCTCTGCGGGGCCGAGCTTCCTCGTCCAGCGCCCGACACCCAAGCCGCCGACCAAGCGCGCCCTCGACGAGCCAACGGTGACGACGCCCACGAAGAACGCCAAGGTCAAGACGCGGTCGTTACTACCGCCGCAGCTCCGGAACCGAAGGCCCAACGTCTCGACCGAAGACCTCAGGTACACCCCTCCCCGACGCATTCTTCGAGTCGCCTGATGACCCCTTCTTTGTGCTAGTGCATGGAACACGCGGCAAACCATGAACCATCAAACAAGTTCTACTAAGAGTCAATAGACGACACGGTTCCTGCAGCAGGGAATAGCCTCGGCTGCTTCGTCGCGAACACGGCAGGTTGCTCCGGGCACCGGTGGATCGTCGCCGGCTCGGCCATGGCGCCGGCGGCTCAACAGGACAGTAAGAAAACGACGATATATTCGAGTCACAGCGACTCTGGGTGTAGTCGTAGAAGTGTACGGGACAGGCAGGGCGGCCATTCGTTACTGCGGCGCAACGTCCTCTGTCGCGACGTTGTGGGCTGGCACCAACGCCTCGCGCTCATCCTCTTCGTCATCGATGGCGGCCACCACAACGGGTGGTGCAGCCTTGGGCGGCTCTGGTATGACGACGTCTGGTTTTCGGAGCGAGGCCAGGAGCGCGCGGATGCCCTCGAGCTTGGTTTGCAGCGCTTGGACGCGCGACGGAAACTGCTGGAGGCGCGCCGCGTACCCGACGAGCGGCGACGTGGTGTCGGCGCCGCCATCCAGAAGGCCCATGAGCTCGGCGATCTTCTCCTGCAAGCTCTCTTGCGTGTCCAAGAGCATGCCCACGTAGCCGTCGCACTTTTCGATCTTGGGCCAGAGCGCCATGTACATGCCCACGGCGAGGTGCGACGCAGCGATCTCTGGCGGCAGCATCATCTCGCTCTCGTCGTCCATGTGTCGTCCGTCGGCCTCGCAGATCATGCTCTCGACGGCGGTCCTTCGGGTCCTGGCGCCGCCAACCGTGTTTTTGGGCCGCGATTCTTTCGAATGCCACATCCATTGTATTGCATACAATTTGAAAGAGGCGCCATTCTATTTTAATACGAGGCGTGGTGGGCCACCAACCGCTTCGAACTTCGATACCAAAACTTCGGTCCCGGCGACTTCGATTCGAAACCACACGTGGCACGCTCAGAACGCATCCGGTTGGCCGATCGAACCCACGGTTCAGCGCGTGATACCGACCATCCTTCCGCCCTGCGCAGGCCATCATCCATCGTTGAAGGCTCCAGTGTGGCGGCAGCGTATTATATGGAGCCGACGTGCACGCTGCGCTCTTTACAACCACCGCCAACAAAGAACCCGCCCCGGCGAACGACCCTGCCCGTGTCGTCGTCGACGTCGCCGCATGTCCCATGGCGCGCGATCTCTCGTTCCTTTCATCGGTGAGCGCTTCATCGTCGTTGATGACCCCGTATTACATTGTGGCTGCAGTAACGAGCTTGTGGCTGCGGTGGATGGGACCTCTACCACGACGACGCGGCCCGTCCGTGTCCTCGTCGCGACGGCCAAGTCCTAATCGAAGTCCATTAGCTAATGACGGGCCAGTGTCTCTCCCACGGCGGTGGCGCTAAAAAACCGAAACGTCCGGATACCGGAGAGCCTAATTAGGCAATCGTACCCACTCCATTGGCGCTGTATCCGGGCGAAAAAAGGCAGCGTAAGGCCAGTGCATCCGATAATTCCCAAGATGACGGGCGGCCGACCAGGCGATCGAGGCGGCGCGAGCCGCAGCAATAGCCTGCGCGGGCCGGCGCCGTACCTGCACAGCGCCCGCGAGGAGCAGCTCTACAAACTCGTAAGTGACCTTAGCGATGCATGTCGTCAAGACAACAATGCAAACGCCCTTCGGGACATGCATCTCATCGAGACTCTGGAGAAGAACGCCAAGGACATCTTATCGCACCGCTCCAACAACAACAGCTCGATGATCGAAGACAAGCGCCGGCGACTCTCGGTCGAGCGCAACGCCAACAGCGACGATGAAGGCGCGCGGCTCGGCCGCGACCGAAGCGTGCCACAGCCGACCGCGCCGACCCGTTACAACATGCCCACGTTTTTTTCGAGATCGAATCTCGGCCCGAGTATGCGCGGACCACCGGCCAAGCCCGCTCGACCGCCGGCGCGCAGTGGCATGGCCGCCTTCGCCGACGACGACGACGACGACGACCACATCCCGAACTACGCGTCACGCGAGACGGCCATCAATGCCCGCGACGCGCTCTGCTCGCTCGACGCGCTCTCGACCGACGAGCTCGACATGCTCGGGTCGTCGAGTGCGTACGGTGACGACAAGGTACTCGCCTTCATCATCATAGCATGTCTGAAGAGGGCGGCTCATGGCATAGCGCGACGCGAATGACGACGAGGACATTGAAAGCATCATGAACCATGCCAAGGGCAGCGTCTTGAACCAGTATGGCCCGCCGTCGCCGTACGGCCAGCCGCAAAAGCCTCGCGCCAACAGCCGCGAGATCTTTCGGCAAACGACCGTCGAGCGCAAGACGAGCGCGCCGACCAAGACGTCGAGCCAGAGCATGGTCCAGCAGCGGTCGGCGACGTTCCTCGACGCGCCCAAGAAGTCGGCGGACGGCAACTGGAAAGAGGGCGGCGACTACGTGTACACGCACCTCGGGTCCAAGATCTTCGGCAAAGCGACCAAGGACAAGCTCATCTCGGTCTCGTCGTCGTCGCTCGGCCCCCGGAGCAAGCCGTCGTTTGCAGACCCGAAGCTCTCGGAGGTATCGTCGCCGCAGGCCAAAGTGAGTTTGATGGGCCGCAGCACGGGCAGCGGTGACTCGTACGGCGGGTCCGAGTCGGACGACGGCTACTTGCCGCTGCGCGGGTACCAGTCGTACCAAAAAGAGTCGACGTCGCCCGACACGCGCCGCCTCGACGTCCTCGAGCGCGACCGGAATGCGCTGCAGGAGCGGCTGCGGTCCATGGAAGCCGACTTTGCCGCCAAGATTGCGTCGCTGGAAGCGTCGGTCGCGGAGAAAGAGGCGCGCTGTGTGCTGCTGTCCGACCAAGTGCGGACGGCCAACGCCGCGACGGAGGCGCTCACACACCAAGTCGAAGCGAACGACGCGCAGTGGAAAACGCAGTTTGAGGCCGCGCATGCGTCGCTGGAGGCAACGCTCGCGCGGCTCGAGCAGGAGAAGGCATCGCTTTTGTCTCGGCTCGAGACCTACGAACCGAAGCGGCCGTCCAGCATCAACCTCTTTGCGCAGCGCATCATTTGGCACCTCAAGGAGATTCTGCGCGAAGACGAGGCCGAGGCGAGCAGCAGCAGTGAGCAGCAATCGGAAGAGGCCCGCGCCAAGGCCACGCGCGTCTCGGCGCTTGTGAACCGGTTTGAAAAGTCGAACGCGCAAGTGCAAGCCAACTTTGCGCAGCAACTGCGGCACGACATCAAGACGATTGGCATCCGTGCGTTCGAAGAGCACCCGGAGAACGTCGCGTCGAAAGCCAAGCTCTTGGAGACGATTGCGGATCTCGAGGCGCAACTCAAGGAGCAGAGCCGTGCCATGGACGCGCTATCCGAGGAAGCCAAGAACCAGCAGAGCCAGCTTGAGATGGCGCTCCAGACAGCGATGGAACGCGACGCTGACGTGATGGACCTCGAGTCGCAGATCCAGCGGCTTGCGCAGACGAACGACGCGGCGACCAACTCGGCCCACGACGCGACGCTGCTGCTGCTCAAGGACAAGACGTCGCAGCTCGCGGACGCACGCGCGGCCATGGCGCAGCTCGAGGCCGATGTGTCGACGCTAAACGAACACGTGGCCCAGCTCACGAGCACGGCCGAGGCGCGGGAGAAGGACCTCTCGGCGGCCCGCGCCGCGCTCATCTCGGCGACCCGCGACAGCAGTGAAGCCAACCATGTGGCCGAGCTCACGCAGGCACTTGAGGCGGCGACGCAGACCCATGCGACGCAGCTCCGGGCCGCGTCGACCAAGACGCAAGACGAGATAGCGGCGTTGAAAGCCCAGATCGTCGCGCTCACGAAGGTGTCGAGTACGGATGCTGCTGCCTATGACGCGCTGTCGGCAGCCAAGACCAAGATCGCGGCGCAGGAAGCCGAGCTCTCGACGCTGCAGGCGACGATCGAGGACCTGCGGCGGCAGCTCGAAGACGCGCTGGCGCCGACCATCAACCCGATGCCGGCCGACGAGTGCGTCAAGAAGGTGCGTTTTGAGGACGATGTGCTCAAGAGCGCCGACTCGACGTCGACGGTACATCTCCAGCACATTCTCAAGAAGCGCGACGAGGAGCTGCATGACCTCAAGACGGAGCTGTACGAGCGCGCGTGTGACGTCAATGCGCTGCGTGCCGAAGTCCTCGGCAAAACCGAGACGATCGAGCTCTTGTCCAAGAAGCTGGCGGCCAAAACCAACACGAGTCTCGACAAGGCACCGACGTCGACGATGGTGACCGCTAACCCGCAGACCACGTCGATGCTGTTGGCCAACCCGGACATGGCCAAGATGGAGATGTTCCTCTTCAACTCGCTCTGCGCCAAGCAGCAGGAAGTCGACGACCTCCTCGTCGAGCTCGATCGCCGCGAAGAGGCTGTGCGCGCTGTTTGCGCGGCCGAAATCGAAGCGCTCCAAGCCGAAGTCAAGGTGCTCGAAGAGCGGTACACGGAGATGTCGACGGCGCTCAAGCTCGCACACGAACAGCAGTCGCACCTTGAAACCGAGACGGACATGCAGCTCAAGAGCATCGAGAACAAGCAAAAGCAGATCAAGTCGCTGATTTCGCTCATGGCCGAGAAGGAGGCCGAGCTCGCGGAGCTGGACGAAGCACTCGCGATCGCCGAGATGCAGGTCGAGCACCTCAAGGCGACGTACCACGTGTCGTTTACGCTCGAACAAGAAGAGGCGTTTGCCACCGCGTACGAGGAAGGCGGCCGCATGAGCTCGTTCTCGATGAAGGCTGGCCGCGAGTCGTTCGCTGAGCGCGGCAAGTTTTTCGAGCGCATGAGCCTGCACATGGACGACACGGACTTTGAGATTGAGGACCTCGCGCCGTTCCGGTCCCGCGCCAGCTCGACCAACTCGCTTCTCTCGGACAAGGGCACGCGTAGCAGTACTACGCAGCTCAGTGCCACGAGCAAGCCGTTCGAAGACGACATGGAGTACGGGTCGCCGCGCTTTAGCAACCTCAGCTACGGCTCGGCACGCGACTCGAACATCTCCGTGACCGAGTGGGACCCCGAGTTTTAAAACCACTCGGTCTTCTATCTACACTATCTATGGCCCCATCAATCTGCCACGAGGCGCAGCGACCGAAGCCGTTGTCTCGTCGGCGTCCCCGTCGTTTCTTCCCTAATCCCTTATCCAGCACATATCGTGACTCGTCTGTGTTGTACTTTTCTAGACAAGTGGTAAGATTACTGTCTTGCAGACAAGGTGAAAGCAACACGCCGTGTGCCCTGCAGCGGGTCCGAGACTTGCGACGCGGCGACGTAAACACCCAAACCCGAGTGACGTCATGTCGGTTGTCATGACGGCGCGAAACGAGACTGGGGACATTGTGTTCCACGGTACGCACAAGAAAGGACGACGTGCGAACGGCCGGTGACCCCAAGCCCTCATGGACCATGTCTTCGTCGTCGTCGTCGACATCACCATATGCCATGCGGTCTTGCTGCAGGCTGACCAAGAGCTGGACGTTGTTCTCGAGTCACTTGCTTGTCCTTGGCATGGTCCTTGGCGGCCATCGCAGCACGAGTTGCAATCCGCTTCGGCAGACAACAGTGCGTGTATCTGGAGGTCCTTGGATTCGCCGTCGGCGTGACTCATGCAGCGCTGCTCGTTGAGGATCATCTTCTGAGAGACCAAGGTGCGGTTGGTCGCGATGGAGGCGTCGTACAATGCTTGGAGCTGGTCGAGGGCGACGGTGGTCGTAGAGGCGTGCTGCTCGATGGCCGTGCACTGCGCTTGCAGCTGCTGTACTTGGTCGTTCTTGGATGCGTCTGAGGCAGCCGTAGCGCTCTCGAGCTGCTTCTCGAGGATCTTGGCGGTCGTCGTGAGCTCGGCGATCTGCTCGTTTTTGGCAGCCACGAGAATGTTGTGGTCCAGTTGCAGCGTCTTGAGGTCTGCGCCAAGGCGACCGACCTCCGACGCCTGGACGGACTTCAGGGCAGATCGTGTCAAAGTGCTGCATGGAGCGGTTGCGCTCGGCCGTCGCCGTCGCGAGGCTGCGCACAGAGAGATGATCCATCCCGTTGTGGACCCCCCTCACCGAGGGCAACCAAGACACGCACCTCGGAACGCCCATCCAATCCAATATATTCACACTACACTGGCGACGACACATTGTCCTCGCATCCTTGTTGACGACCAAATCACGCGCCAAGCCAATGGTTCTGGCCAAACTGCCAGCCCAGCGTCGCGCCCGACGAGATCCCGAGGAAGAGCCCGAGGACGAGGATCGCGCCGGCCGACTCGCGGTCTTCTTGGGCCACCAAGCGCGGGCCGAGCCCGATCGTGATCGTGCTGAGGATGCCCGTGGTCATGCCCAGCGCAAAGTTGATAAAGAGCTGCCAGAAAATGTTGAAGGCGTGGGCCGCGCCCATGCAGAAGAGCGGGTTCTGGCCGCCGCCGGGAAGACCCAGCAGCAAGCACACAAAGAGGCCCCAGCGGCCGATGGACCACGCCAAGCACGTACGAAGCGTCAAGTACTTGTACAAGCTCGGCGCGAGGAGGCGGCCGAAAAAGTCGCCATAGTTGTAGCTCAAGAGGACGCCGTTGACGTACCAGCCGCCCCACGTCGCCGCGCCCGCGAGCTGAAAGCCAGACGAGATGCCAATGCCGGGAAAGGCCGTGAGCGAGCACAAGAAGATGACAAACTGGCACGCAAAGGGCACGGCGACGACGACGGCGATGCGCCCGAGGCGACCCCACATGACGCGCAGCGGCTCGGCCTCACGCGCCGATGTCGCGTCGTCGTTGGCCGCCATGAGGTACATGACGCAGGGCAGCGAGAGCACCTTGCGGAAGACGCCCACGGCGACGCCACACACGACGATGAGGATGCTAAAAAAGATGTAGAACGACACCTTCTGGATCGACGCGGTCTCGGACGCGAGCGGGTGCCAGCCGCCGACGCAGAGCTGAATGAGCGTGCTGATCGTGACGTTGAGAAAGCCGGACGTGCCATTGCCGAGCTGGACCGCGTTCGTCAACGTCGCGTCCGGGAAGAGCGCCGAGAGGCCGTACAGCGCGGCTTCCGCCAGCGAGTTGGTCAAGCCGACGACGCCAAACGCGACGAGGACGACGATCGCACCGGTGTTTGGCGACGCGTCGAGGATGTCTTGGAGCAAGATCGCGATCGCGCAGAGCGCGTAGAGGCTGTAGCCGAGGCAGACGCGGCGCCAGAGCCCGAGCTTCTTGTCGAGGCCAAAGAGGATTTGCACCAAGTGGCCCGCAAACATGGGCCACGTCGAGACGGGCGTCGTGAGGTACGCAAAGTTGAAGGACGTCGACGCGAAGCGCGACTGGTAGTAGTTTTGGGCCGACAAGCACGTGTAGTACGCCCAGAGACACGAGGCGTTGAGGAAGAGGAGCGCCCACCAGAGGAAGCGCTTGTGGGCATCGAGCGACTCGAGGACGTGCGTTGGCAGCGCGAGCCCGTCGTCAGTGACGAGGTACACCTTGGAGCGCGGCGAGTGGTCGAGCATCGAGGCTTGGAAGCAAAAGCAAAAGTGAAGACGACAATATATGGGAGTCAAGGGCAGCAGCGTTGCCGGCCAGCTGGCGTTCGGAAGTACCTTGAAGCGCGTGACGCAGTGTGTCTGCATTGCGCTACCTGCGATGTGCTACGGGCGGGGATGGGCTACTACGGCGCGATCACGAGTTGGCGCAGTGGAGACGACCTGTAGCCGAACCTGGCCTTTCGATATCGAAACGGGTGGGTATGGCCAAGGCCATTGCGGTGGCATCGACGATGGACGCTGCATGCAACGTCGAGCGGCTTGCCTTTTGCATGCTTGCAGGACCTTTGACGACGGACGCAGCGGCGAGAATCGGTGCGAGGCGCGTCACGCGTGCGATCCGCTGCGAGGCCGGTCCGACTACCCGACGCAGTGGCCCGTACGTGGTGAAGGCAGATTTTCCTATCTGATCGGCGCGTTGCGTCGCCTTCGCTTCAGGGTACTCGCTCGTCTTTGGTTGTATCTTCAAGGATCGCCATTATCGTTTCCGCCAATCAGGAGCCCCGTACAATGACGTGGCGCGCTGTGGTGGTGTCTACAGTGGGAGACGGGTGATTCCTGGTTTGCGTCAGTGTCGCAATGATCGCTTGGTGAAGGCTCTCATGGTGGCAGGGGATCGGTTGCAGCGTGGATCACAACATTGGCTGAACCAAGGACAATGACCAAGCGCGAACGGCCACGCAGCACGACGCCCGAGGTGCCAACTCGCTTGACGGCCGTCGATACGCAGCTACAGCTCATGGACTTTGAGCTCGCGTCCAAGCACGCGCTCTTAGACCGCCTTGAGACCGCGAGGTTGGCGGTTGAAGCGCGGTGCGCAGCAGCCGCGACTGACGATCGAGCCCTCGACGTCTTCTTGCTGCTGTCGCTCGTCAACAAGTTTGAGCAAAAGGAGAACGTAGTGCTCCGAGACGTGAATGCGATGGAGCGTGCCATGCAGTGCCTCTTGAAGGCTGCGCTCCGTGCGAAGACGGATCATCCATGTCCTGTCAGCCCCACGCCATGACGCGGCACGAGGCAACGCCGACGACTAATAGCCACTAGCCTAATGTCTGAAAGAATGTGATCTTGGCTTCATGGTAGCACGACCTAGCGAGCTCGAACAGGCCTATGGGGCATTTTTGGCAGGATCCTCATCATTACCTGGACGTTTTCCGGATACCATCCGTAACTCGTAGGGTACACACCAGTCCACGTCAATTAGTGTTATACAATACTTTAATCAAGAGGATTGCACACACGAATTAAAGTCCCGCCAAATCGAACAAGTGGCCAATCACAGGTAATTTTAGCTCGCGCCTTTGCGTCCGACCAGAGTGGCATGGCGGAGCCGATGACGCCGCCGCCCGTGACGACGCGATCGTCGTCGTCGAACCCGCTGCAGATGGTCATCCAGCGCCTCCAAGGCGAGTGCGAGATGCTGCGCGCCGAGAAGCGCGAGGTCGAGCGCAAGCTGTCGCAAGAGCAGCAGAAGGCGGCGCGCGTCCTCATGGAAGGCAACGAGATGCAGCGGCGCTGCCTCGTCGAGAACCAAAAGCTTCAGAGCGACGTGATCCACCTCAAGGAGAAGGTGCGTGAGGCCCATAGCAGCATCGAGGTGCTCACCGAACGCATGGCGCGCACCGAACACAACGAGCGCCAGACCCACGAGCGCTGCGCGACCTTGTCCGACATCATCAAGGACCTCGAGGCCGAGGCCGACCGCGCGCGCCGAACCATCTATCACTTTGAGCAAGAGGTCGAGCGTGCCAAGGTCGCTGTCGCCCACGCCACCGCCGAGCGCGACGATGTTCTCGAGCGCACCGAAGCCGACGCCAAGCGCGTGCGGCAGCTATGGGAAGAGACGCTCTCGCAGCACGCCGCGCAGCTCCGATCCATCCAAGACCAAGCGGCAAAGGCGAAGCGTGAGGCCGCCCACCACACCAAGCGCGGCGCCGACAAATCCGCGACCATCAAGGAGCTGCAGGACAAGGTCGCTGCCGCCACGAGCACGATCGCCCAAGACGCGCACCGCTACGAGGTAGTAGCCTCTCTACCATTCAACTTGCGGGCGAGTGTCACGATACCATCAATGACTAGCTCCTCGAACGCGACTTGAAAGCGACCAAGACCGAGCTGCGGCACGCCCAAGAGCAGAACACCAAGCTGACCGAGTCCGTGCAGTCGATCGCGATGCAGCTCGAGACACATGTCGGCATGCTACGCGCCACCGAGAGCCGGCTGCACGAGGCTGCCGAAGACGCCGAAGTCCAGCGCCGGTTGCGGCGCGAGAAAGAAACCCAGCTCGACGACGTCCTCGGAGAGCTTGACGCGCTTCGCTCCGAGTTTGTGACGAGCCTCGACGCCCACGAAACGCTGGTGCGAGAGCTGCAACAAGAGATGGCGCGGCGCAGTAGCGACCAAGCCCAGCGCATCGCGGCGCTGGAGGCCGAGCAAACGTACGCTGCGTCCGTCTCCGCCATGCTCGGCGGACACATTGGCGACTACAACAAGGTGCTGACCTCGGTCAACCACAAGCTCGCCGACATGCAGGATCGCATGGAGCCGCCCGAGATCGCCAAGCCACCCCACACGCCGCGACGACCGACCGAGGATACGTCTATGAGTATCTTCGCACACTAATTTCAATGCACACACTACCTACGAGCTACGAGCTGCGAGTACGCAGTGTGCCTGTAGCTGCCGCGTGAGAGGCGACGGAATGAGCAAGGTACGTGGGCGTCCGTGGGCGTGCCACGTACTCTCGCGCATAAACCTGTAGAAATGGATCGTTTTTCGTAAATATTCGTTTGTACAGTGGCACCGAGCGACGGCCGCCCGTGTTTTTGAACCGAATTCTTGCTCCAGCAGCGGCGACGACGAGACAAGCGATGGCGGACGCGGAAGGTAGGAGCGTCGCCGCCCATGGGCGTGGCTCATGGCAGCGATGATGGCGCAGGAGAGACCGCGATCCAGAACTCGTACTGCTTCTGGTACATGAAGAAGAACACGGGCGGGAAGGCGGCGGTACGTGGCCGACGAACACACGCCCTACTATCTCTATCAGCTGGATGACCAGGAGAGCTACGAGAAGAGCATCAAGGAGCTCGGCGAGTTCAAGACCGTGCAGGGCTTCTGGCGCCTGTACAACTACCTCATTCGGCCCAACGAACTCTCCAACACAACCGACTACCATCTCTTCAAGACGGGCATCAAGCCCATGTGGGAGGTAGTACTCCACGAGCTGCACATACATGGTGCGAGCGCATGGCCAATGTAGGACGCGGCGAACCGTCGTGGCGGCAAGTGGATGATTCGCATCCGCAAGGGCGTTTCGTCGCGCTACTGGGAAGACCTCGTATACACTCTCTCGTCTTGGCGCGCGTACCATGCATATCTGCGTGTAGGTGCTAGCGATCATTGGCGAGCAATTTGACGTCGGCAACGAGATCTGCGGCGCCGTCATGTCCATTCGATACAACGAGGATATCATCTCGCTTTGGAACCGCAACGCCGACAACAACGAAGCCTGCTACAGAATACGGTGCGCCTTGCTCGTCGTCGTATCCGTTCTTAGTGTTGTCCTTGGCTAGCGATACCATGCGCAAGCTGCTCAACTTGCCGCAGTTTGTCGTGCTCGAGTACAAGCGCCACGACACGTCGCTCAACGACAACTCGAGCTTCCGCAACACGACCGTGTGGCGCACGGGCGAGAAGGGCGCACGCACGCACGACGAGAGCGAGGGCACGCCCACGGGCGAGACGCCAGCAAACCCGCGCCATTCGCGCGAGAACGGAAGCGGCCACCGGTCGTCCACCATGGACCGTACCAACACGTCCCGGGGCAAGCAGCGCGATGGCAACGCGACGTCGACCCGCGGCGCATGGACGCGCGACACGACGCCCCGCGAGCAGCCCAAGAAGACCCGGTCGAGCAGCTTTTCGCAAGACGAAGACGGGTGGCAGACCCAGCACTAGCGAGCTTCTTTCTCCCTGCGTCCTCCTCATCCTAGTACACATACGATCGATGATGACCTTTGTCGCAGCAGTGCTCTTCGACGCAGGCCAACAAGTTGGTCTATTACGATATACAGGGCGGTCTATGCCTCCGGCGAGGACGTCGACGAGGTCGATGCGGGCGCGTCGGCGGCCGGCGCCGGCGTCTCAATGCCCGGCGGCATGCCCACCTTGCGCAGCGTGTCGTTGAAGATGTAGACGCCCGAGACGCCGCCGAGGACGACGGCGATCGCGACGTCCAGCAGCGGCGTCCGGCGGCGGATGCGCGGCTGGAGGCGGAAGTGGGGCGTTTTCCCGGAATTCATTGGCGGCTCGGCTTTCCGGTTCTGGCAGGCGCAGCGAATTGCGGCGAAAACATGTCTTTTCGCAGTTTACCACGACTGGCCACGTGAAAAACACCGCCAAAACCTCTAGCAATGCATATGCCACGCTCTCCTGCGCCCGTGCCGATGCAATAATGGCACCGTCGTCGTATCGGATAGCATTCGATTCCCAGAAAGGATGCAAGGTAGGCTATGTTGACGGGTGTGCTTGCAGGCGGCGTTGTTGTCCGTAGTCCGAGATGGTGGATTGTACGGCACCCCGCCTTTTTCACATCGTGTGGTTTGCATTTCCCACGTGTGTTTCTCACGTCGCACAAAACTGGCAGCAGCAGCAGCACGTGGGGTCGGCCAGATGAACGGGTCGGGCAGCTCGTCGCACGCGCTCGTGTCGATCATCAAGCTCGCGGGCTCGGTGCAGGGCGCGCTCCTCCGCGTGGGCGAGACGTACATCTTGCTCAACTGCGGCGACCCGTCGCCATCGGCGCCGACGGCGATCACGTCAATGACCACGATAGGGCTGCCGCAAGGTAGCATTGTGAGCGCCGTCTTGGTCACGGACTGGCGCATCTCGAGCAGCGGCATGCTCCCACACTTCCTTTCTGTCTACAACACGCACCACAATCGGCGCAACAAGGACAAGACCAGCAAGGTGCCGCCGCCGACCATCTTTATGACGCACGCGACGCGCGCGCTCCTGCCGCACATTTGCGCGAGACCAAAGGCGGCGACGGCAACGCGTCGTTCTTAAACGACAGCGCGATCGCGTCCATCTCGTCGCTCGCGTTCGACCAGCCATGCGTGTACACGGACCCGCGCGGCACGCTTCTCACGATCACGGCCCACCGCGCCGGCCACGTCGCCGGCGGCTGCCTCTACACGATCGAGGTCGACGGCACGCAGGTACATCATCATGTGATCGCTGTCTCGTCAACGGCCATGACATGCTGGGCGCTAGGTGGCGTTTGTCGATGGGTTCAACCTCCACGGCTCGCGCGTGCTCTTGCCCGCGAGCTTGCCACCCCGGCCGCCGCACATTGCACTCATCCGCGGCAACTACTCGGTGACTGTCTCGGAGACGCGGACCGTCATTGAGCGCGAGTTTTGCAAGGTCATCCATGACGTGATCAACCTCCGCGGCAAAGTCGTGATTCCTGTCTTTGGCGTCGGCTGCTTCTTCCACGACATCCTCTCGATGCTCACCGACTACTGGGTGCGCATGGAGCTCACGCACGTGCCTATTTACGTCACGTCCGACACACTACTGCACCAGCAAGCCACACCGTTCTACCACGCACTCCTGCTCGACTCGTACACCAACGCGTTTAACCATCGAACGCGCCTGCCTGTCTACAAACTCCCGAGTCTCCAGACGCTCGAGGAGCCGAACACGCCCATGGTTGTCTTCTCGGAAGGCGCTTCGCTCACGAGTGGCGACACGGCGTCGGCCCTCCAAGCGATCGGCCAGCACGTCAACAACCTCCTCGTGCTCTCCGAGTTTTGCACGAAAGGGACCATCAACCGCGCGTTTCTCAACAATGAAGTGTGCGCCGAGCTCTCCAAGTCCTTCCACGCGTCGATTACCTGTCGCGTGCACGAGCTTCCGAGCGGCGAAGAAGGTGACGCGCGCGACGTGGCCGAGCTCACGCGCCAGCTCCGCCCGCGGCACCATGTGGTCTTGGCCGGCGTCGACGACGGCCACGTGGCCTGCTTCCACGAGGCGATTCCAAGCGACGGTCGACTCGCGCCCTTCTCGGTGCTCGGCGACGACGACCTCGTGCTCAGCGTCCCGAGAGACATTGGCGTCCGCGTCCGCTCCAACGTCGCGTTCAACCGGGGTCCGATGACGACGCTCCTTGTGGCCGAGCCGCGCAAGAAGATGGCTGTCTATGGCGAAAGCAGTCTCCGCCGCCTCAAGAAGAAGCGCCATGCGCTCGAGTACGACCACTCGTGGAAGTACCCGAAGTCGTCGGCGATCTCGAAGCGCCCGAAGGAGGTCAAGAAGCGGTCGGGCGGCGCGAGCTTCATGCTGCAGGACCTCCTCGTGAACGACGCGCCCGACTCGGACGACCCGGAAGAAGAGATGCAAGCAAATGTGAGCGACGTGCACGACGGCATCTACCGCGCGCTGCACCAGTGGATGGGCGTTGGCAAGTACCCGATCGAGCGCCGACCCATGAGCGTCGAAGTCGGGTCGGTTCAAGTCGACGTGAGCACCGACTGGTCGATCAACATGCGCTGGTCCTTTGACGACGAAGAGCTCGCGAGTCGCGTCTTTGGCCTCGCCCAGCGTGTCGTGCAGCAGCAGTACGGCGAGGCCCACAACCACTCGTACCACCACTAGCCCCACTTCTTCTACTACTAATACATGCTTCCTGCAAGAATGCTGCTTCATGCAGAGGGTCGATGGCGGTCTCTTGTGCAGCGATGGCCTCGTCGAGTGCTCGTTTCGCATCCGACACCTCGCTAAGGAGGTCCATGCGTGGCGAGCCCGTGCCTGGCGTCGTCTTTGGAAGCCGTCCTGTAAGCTCCCGGCTCCTCGCGCTCGGTCGTCGTTGACACAGATTTCGCGATCTTCCGAAATCCTGTCAAAGTGAATACCTGGTTTTAATGTTTTTATAGAGGTGCAACGAAAGCAGCAGCACCCCAGAAGCAAAGGAGCCGCCTACAGAGCAGATCCAAGATGAACATGGCGTCCGGGTACGGGTATGGCAGCGCTGGCAGCAGCAACGCGACGCAGTTCGACGAGAGCAGCGGCTACAACCTCAAGGCCGGCGAAGTAAGCTCGGGCACGACGATCATTGCGGTCAAGTACGCAGGCGGCGTCGTCCTCGGCGCCGACAGTCGTACGTCCACCGGCACGTACGTGGCGAACCGCGTCTCGGACAAGCTCACGATGATCCATGACCGCATCTACTGCTGCCGGTCGGGCAGCGCAGCCGACACGCAGGCGCTGTCGGACTACGTGCGCCACTTTATGGCGTCGCACGCGGACGAGCTCGAAGGCGACGCGTTGCCCAAGGTGCACACGGCCGCAAACTTGTTCCGCAAGCTCTGTTACGAGAACAAGGACCGCTTGATGGCCGGCATCATCGTCGCGGGCTACGACAACGTCAAGGGCGGTCAGGTGTACTCGGTGCCGATCGGCGGCGCTTTGGTCGAGCAGGAAGTCGCGATCGGCGGGTCGGGCTCGACGTATATCTACGGTTTTGTCGACGCGCACTGGCGATCGGGCATGACCAAGGAAGAGTGCGTCGCATTTGTGCAAAAGGCGCTCTCGCATGCGATGGCGCGCGACGGTAGCTCGGGCGGCGTCATCCGTACGGTCACGATCGACGCCAACGGCTGCGAGCGCGGCTTCGTCGCCGGCAACCAGCTTCCGTTCATGTTGTAAGCGCGAGCAAGGACGTGGACCACGATAACAACCACAACACGATCTTGCATGCTACACACCGTGGTAGGTTGTTTCTTGTTATATAACGTAGGACAAAGTTAGTGCTTCTGCTCTTCCATGCTCTTGCGAATCGTGTAGTCGCGGAGCGCGCTCACAATCTGGAGAAAGGACGGGCGGAGCTCCGGCTGGCGCGCCCAGCACGCCTTCATGAGCTGCGCCAGGAAGGGCGGGCACGTCTTGGGCACGACCGGGCGGAGGTTGCGGTTGAGGACGCCGAGCGCCGCCTGGATCTGCGTCATGCCGTCGTACGGGCACTCGCCCGTGACGCACTCCCAGATGACGATCCCGAACGAGAAGACATCGGCCTTCTCCGTGTACTTTTGGTTGCCGAGCACTTCGGGCCTAAGCGTGGACATGAATCGTCCATGCTAGAAAGGACTAGTGAGATTCGTACGCCATCCACTGGACGGTGCCACAGTTGCCCGTCATCGTCTGAACATGCGCCTTGACACGCGAGAGGCCAAAGTCCGAGATCTTGATCGCGTAGTTGCGGTCGACGAGCAAATTGGGGCTCTTGAGATCGCGATGGAGAATCGGTGGCTGGAAGTTGTGCAGGTAGCTCATGCCCTTGGCCGTGTCATTGATAAACCTACGCCAGCAGATGAGGCTTAGCAGCAGAGGAGCATCGCTACCCGATGCGCATGAGTTCGTCGATCGAGCGGCTCGTGCGAAGCACACCCCAGAGCGACCCGCGCGGAAGGAGCTCGACCACCAAGCATCGATGAGGCGGGTCTATGCACGCGCCGAGGAGGCGGCAAATGTTGGGGTGCCTAAAGCATTCTCCTATCAATCCTCGTCCGGGTCAAGAGAGGGCACGAACCGGAGAACACTCATGATTTCGACTTCGCTCTGAAACTCTTCGAGGATGTCTTGGCGCAGTTCTTGGCAGATAAGAAGCTTGACCGCCACTGGGCGGTCGCGCCACTTGCCCTCGTGGACTTTGCCAAAGGCGCCTTCGCCAATGACACGGCCGAGCGACACTTCGTTAAAGTTGATGTTGCGCGACTGCACCGGGCGCCCGACGGCCGGCACCGCGTGGGGCGTCGGTGGCTGCACCGGCGCTGGCGCCGGACGCGCCGGGACGGCTTCCGGCTTCTCTTCGGGGCCGCCAAAGAGCGGCGAGCGCAAGAAGAGCGGGATCTTGGCCTTGCGCGCCACGTCGAGCTGGATCTGCGGCGCGCGCGGTGGCTCGGCGGGAAAGTCGTTGGCCGACGGTTTGCGCTCGACGCGGCCGCCGTTGTTCTTGACGGTCGCCACGTCGGCCATGTCCGTGCCATCGTCACCAGCGGGTTCTTTTGCTGGCTGCTCGTCGTCCTTCTTCTTGGCGCGCTGGTACACGTTCTCGTGCGGGCTCAAGTGGTGGTGCGGCTTGGGCGGCTTCCGGAACGGGTCGTCGCGGTCGTTGGCCGCCGCTTCCATGTGCGAGTGCGGATCGGCGAGCCAAAGGTGCCGAAAAAGTTGCCCATCTTGAGGCCTCCTTTGTGCGGCCGGTTGATGTTCATGCTACCAGCGACGACTTGAAACGCGAAATGAGTGAAGCAAAGAGAAAACGGCAGCTGTACGAGGCCGCGTTAGAGAGCCTTTGGTTGTATCACAATTTTCAGTGCGTGCGCCAAGATCTTACGCCGACGGCAGCTGGCACGTGGTGTAGTGCACGTTTGTATGCTATGGTTGCCACATGCTCATGGCGTCGGCCAGGATTGGCGGAAAGAAGCGGTCTTATGAGCTCGTCTTCTTCTCGCAACACTCGCGCCCAGTATACGAGCCCAACTTGCCGTGTGACTGGAGCGGGATATCAGCGTCGTCGCATATGCGTCGCCTTGCTGACTTCCTTGCCCTTGACGGCGTCTTCGCTTGACTCGACGAGTAGTGCACCGGCTAGTCCATGCAGAGTACATGGCCTGCAGCTCCTCGTGTGCGACCAAAGCTGCAGTGACCCTTGTCGCTGCGATTCAAGGACGGGTGCAAGCGTGGTTGGTGGCGCAGGGTGACGCAGGTTTGTCACCACAATGTTGTGTCTACCAGGGTCAATCATCGGTGTCGAGATTTGGCGCAACGAGGAAGAGTGAGTGATCTCAAGTCACCTCAAGTGCCCATGATTCACTTTCTAATATCCCTGCACTCAACCACTGTCGGCGCGAGCACCTGGTCACTCTGCTCGTGCAGGATGCTGCTATGATAGGTTAGCAAGAAGCACCTTTAATGAACGATAGTAGAGCTTGATGTCCTAGTCCATGCGTAGGCGACCGACCTCCTGCGATCCATTCAAGGGTGTTGAAGTTGCCTGTCGACCCGTGATGTACTGTTTCTCAGAGGTCCTGCAGCATCGCATACGATGGGGCATCGATCTTGTGTGCCATGGAGTCGAACGCTCGGGTCCGGCGCCGCGTCGCCGACGAGACAGAGGCCGGCGTCGCCGTGAGCCCGC